ATCCCATGGATCCCTGTATCCCTGTATCCCATGGATCCCTGTATCCCTGGATCCCTGTATCCCTGTATCCCATGGATCCCTGTATCCCTGTATCCCATGGATCCATACCTTCCCCCTCCTCTCGGAATGCCCTGGGCTGGGACACGGTGAAGCACTGCATCACCCATCCCTGTATCCCATGGATCCCTGGATCCCTGTATCCCATGGATCCCTGTATCCCATGGATCCCTGGATCCCTGTATCCCTGTATCCCATCCCTGTATCCCTGTATCCCTGTATCCATACCTTCCCCCTCCTCTCGGAACGCCCTGGGCTGGGACACGGTGAAGCACTGCATCACCCATCCCTGTATCCCTGGATCCCATGGATCCCTGTATCCCTGTATCCCATGGATCCCTGTATCCCATGGATCCATACCTTCCCCCTCCTCTCGGAACGCCCTGGGCTGGGACACGGTGAAGCACTGCATCACCTCGTAGCGCTGCCGCAATTCCTGGTTTTCCGAGCCCGCCTCGTCCGGGGGCCGGATCAGCATCCGGCAGCTGAAGGTGTGGCTGCTCCGCCGGCCCGATTCCTGAGGCCACGGCACGCCGTTCACTGGGAATGCACACGGAAAACCAGCGGCCTCGGGATGGGCCCGCCATTCCCCAGGATCCGATGGGATGGCGGAGGAACAGAGCCCACAATTCCAGCCCCTCCATCCCACGGGAATTCCAACTGGGGCAGGAGAGCCCGGAGCAATTCCAGAGCTTGGGAATTCCAACTGGGGCAGGAGAGCCCTGAGCAATTCCAGAGCTTGGGAATTCCAACTGAGGCAGGAGAGCCCTGAGCAATTCCAGAGCTTGGGAATGCCCTGAGCAATTCCAGAGGTGGGGAATGCCCTGAGCAATTCCAGAGCTTGGGAATGCCCTGAGCAATTCCAGAGGTTGGGAATGCCCTGAGCAATTCCAGAGGTTGGGAATGCCCTGAGCAATTCCAGAGGTGGGGAATGCCCTGAGCAATTCCAGAGGTTGGGAATGCCCTGAGCAATTCCAGAGGTTGGGAATGCCCTGAGCAATTCCAGAGGTGGGGAATGCCCTGAGCAATTCCAGAGGTCGGGAATGCCCTGAGCAATTCCAGAGGTCGGGAATGGCTTCGGCCTCTTCCTGTTGGATTCCCAAATCCAACCCCGGTGACATTCCCGAGGTTTTCCCAGCGGGGAATCTGCCCAGGAATGAACTTTTCCTTTGCATCCTCCTTTTTTTCTGGGATAACCAGGATCAGGATTGGACCCCCCAGTGCCACAAATTCCCCCCGGAATTAATATATAATAATATATTATTAATATATAAGTGACATATAATTAATATCTAATTAACACATAATTAATGGAACACAAATATTATTTAGCACTGATCATAATTTGTCAATTATTATCAATTATCACTGTTAAAATGTTGGCAATTATTAACTTTTGCTCTTATAACTAATTATTTGCTGTTATTAATGTAATTAATTAATGTGACATATGTAACACAATTGTTATGTTTATATATATTTATATTTATATAAGTAATTTTATATTATTTATATTTATATAATTAATCTATAATTATTATAATAATATTAGAATAATATTTAATAAAACACAAAATATAACTTTATATATATTAAAATAGATAATAATATTCTATTTTATATGAAGCATTATTCATTTATTATATAGTAATTAATACCACTAATTATACACTAAGTAATTATTTCTACTATTATCTATTAAATATATTATATATATTAAAATATATGATTATATTCTATTCCATATGATGTATTAATGATTTCATATATAGTAATTAATTAATACCAGTATTATAAAGTAATTAATTTATACTATTACCTATTAAATATATTATATATATTAAAATATATGATTATATTCTATTCTATATGATGTATTATTCATTTAATATAGAGTAATTATTAATACCAGTAATTATACAGTAAGTAATTAATTTCTACTATTATCTATTAAATCATTGTAATATAAGTGGTCAATAATTGATAATTAAAAATTAATAAGAATTAATATTAATAAGAATTAAGATTTAATAATTAATATTAATTAATAATAAGTAAAAATAAATTAAAGATAACTGATATTAACAATAGTTAATAATTAATAATTAATAATAATTAATAATAAGTAAAAATAAGTCAATGAGAATTGATATAATAATTATTATTTGATAATTAATAATTAGTAACAATTAATAACAAGGAATAATAAATCAATGTGAATTGATATTAATAATAGTTAATAATTAATAATAAGTAAAAATAAATCAATGAGAATTGATATTAATAATAGTTAATGAATAATAATTAACAATAAGTAAAAATAAATTAATGAGAATTGACATTAATAATAGTTCATAATCAATAATTAATAATTAATAATAAGTAAAAATAAATCAATGAGAATTGATATTAGTAATAGTAATAATTAATAATTAATAATAAGTAATAATAAGTAATAATAAATTAATGAGAATTGATATTAATAATCGTTAATAATTATTAAAATGTAATAATTAATAATAAGTAAAAATAAATCAATGAGAATTGATATTAATAATACTAATACTTAATAATTAAAAATCAATCAATGAGAATTAATATTAATAATAGCCAATAATTAATAATTATAATAAGTAAAAATAAATCAATGAGAATTGATATTAATAATAGTAATAATTAATAATTAAAAATAAATCAATGAGAATTGACATTGATAACGATTAATAATTTATAAGCAATAATTAATAATGATGAATAAGAAATGCGATGGATGAATTGGCGGGGTTGGGGTTGTTTTCTCACCGAGCGATTTGGGGAGGAGGTTCTTGACGAACTCGGCGTGGTCCCCGACGTGCAGGACGCTGTAGACGCTGCTGTTCATCAGCTCCTCCTGCCGGTAGCCCAGGTAGCCCGTCACGTTCTCCGACACGAACACCAAACGGCCCTCGCGGTTCACCACGAAGAAAAACCCGTCCAGAGCCTGGCAACGGGGAAAACAACAACCAACAACCACCGTGAGGAACGATGGCAACAACCACAACCACCGTGAGGAACGATGACAACAACCACAACCACCGTGAGGAACGATGACAACAACCAACAACCACCGTGAGGAACGATGGCAACAACCACAACCACCGTGAGGAAC